TAATGGCTTTCAATGGAGAAAACAAAAAATCACCAAAAATTAACGAAGACTCAGAACAACACCAAATTAAGTTTGCATACGTTTCACAAGCTGGACTATTGATGCCAAGCATTTAAAACAGGTTTCAAACAGTTTAAGGCACTTTTAAATGAGGGAAAAGAGACATCGGAATGCCATTCAAATTCATTGAGTCGGCTTCAATACATTTGAATGGAGGAAACATTGTTTCACTCAACGATGTTTCCTATGGGGATTTTCGCTCAAGGACGGCAATCCGTTCCTATTGGAACGGATTAACCGGTTTTCAATGCATTCCTATGGGAAATGGTGTTTCACAGAACGATGTTTCACACAACGTTGATTTTTTTTGGAACCAATTAACATCGTTGTGTGAGGCACCACTGTACATCTGGTGCCTCTTGCAGGCTGGAAATATCTTCCAGCTCTCAGTGATCACAGGAGGCTCCTGATAAGACTGACACTGGGACACAGCTGAGGAAGCAGTGCCAGCCCAAGGGGTCCTTCTCTGGAAAAAAATTGCAGGCTCCTGCACTGGCACAAGGAGGCTTGTCTGCAACAATTGGATCAGCACCAATCTATAATTGCAGTTCCAGGTGAGGCAGGCAGACAGTTCTGAACAGGGTCTTACAGACACTCCTTCCATTTAAGGTAGGGACACACAATGCTGACATTCATCCCACGCCCTTACCTGTGGATCGTACTGGAAGATTCTGGACCTTAATCCCAAAACTTTTGCGGGGCTCATCTTTCTCCAGAGATGGAAGCAACTGGGAGGTGGGTGCCGGAACAGCCGTGGACTGAACAGAGCGGGCGGGGGACTCATCACTTGAACTGCTACTGGAGTCACTGCTGTGGAAACAAAAAGAGCAATGAGAAAGGGGCATCAGACAGCATAGCAGGCATACTGCTTTGGCAAGCCGTCTAGGACTGGTGACCAGTTCAGAGTGAGACCCATGAGACACCACTGAATGCTACGTTCACCCTGAAAACACAGCAGAGGAGGACAGAAGAGTCTTCCGAATAGTATTGTGCAATCGGATGCCTGCCGGTTCTCATCAGGGGCAGAGCTGCTTGAATCCACTATACCCCACTTTTGCAATTATAAGCAGTTGGGTTATTCTCATTTCTCCAAACTGGTGGAGCCACTTTTGCTCTCATTCTGTGCTCCAAAGAAAGGCAAGGGAAAACATGTGGCAAAAGGAAACAACGGAACAGGTTGAGAACCCCAAAAGGTAAGAGAAGCCCATCCCATCCACACCCCATTAATCATACTAGGAAAGAATACCACATTTCAAGACTTAGGTTTCTGAATCCGAAGTGCCTTTATTAATGGAGTGAGTGGACACTTGTCTAGCAGAAATCCTCCAGTGACTTCTGAAGGAAAAAGGGACCAGGCCAAGGTTCAGAACCACATCTGGGCCAAGAAAGCTGGAAGCCTCCTGCCCCCTGAGAGAGGAGAGGAAGACACATTCAAGACTCTCACCTTGGCAAGAAAGAAAACTTTCTGGCCACCAAATCTGCACCTCCAAACAGCTAAGAGGAGACGAAGGAGACAAAGAAGTGTGTTTGGTAGAGGGTGCACACGTACAGGACAAGGAACTAAAGACCAGAGGCATTCTCATGTTGAGTGAGTGGAGGGGGCAAGGCCTGTAATGAGGTGGCCCCTACCACCTACTGTTCTTCTAATCGGGGTGGGGTGGAGTTGGTTGGACCACATGATCCCAGCTACCAGCCATTCCAAGAAGTCCCTGTAGACTGCCTTCTGGATGAGTAGAGCAGGAGGGTGTTGTGTCCCTCCCCTCCTGCCTACGAGCTTCCCACAAGAGCAACTGGAGAGCACCTCAGGGGCACAAATGCCTTTAGTCTGAACAATCACCATCATTTTAGAACTACAAACTGTAAAGCTGCTCCCTCAAGGGGATGGCGATCAGACCCCCACCACAGGCACTCCTCTACCGACTCACCAACAACAGCTCTAGTTCCCTCACCCAATTCACTACTGATTCGTGGCCTCCAGCAGCAGGCATGGATTGGACAGAAGGAAGAAGCAGCTGCACAGGAGGCTGCGCCTAATCTGCCATGTCCTTGCTTCTTCCAGTCTGTACCTCATGGGGTGAGGCCAACACAGCTGCAGACCCTGCATGAGGAGGATTCAACTCATAGCCCAGAGAGAGCTGAGCCACCAAATTACACCGATCAGTGCGAGGAGGGGCATTTATAGGCCCACCAAGGAAGAGACAGCGACACACAGGAGTAAGATCAGGGCACAGCGGGAGCTCTTTAAGCAGGCAGGGCCCTGTGACAACGGTCAAGGAGAACTGGCCTCTTCCACTGGGGCTGAAGCTGCCCCAATTATGTGCCTGTTGATCTTCAAAGTGTGTTTTCTAGTATGGAAGACAACAGTTCGTTATCCCTGTTTTACACAAGCAGACACATGAAAGATAAACAAAGGGAACTAGGGAAGCAATCTGAGACTACTGGTGACATCCCTCAGCATGCTGGGGCCACTTCACTCAAGTCTCACATGTTCCAGACAACAGGCTGGGCAGGCAAGCTTGATGACAGGTTGGCAATCCAGGCTTTCTCTCCCCTTTTCCTGAGCTGCTCTCTCTCCAGCTCTGTGCTCACGAGACCGCTCATTTCCACAGAATAAATTACAGCTCCCCCAAAGGCCAAACCAAAGCTAAGGGAGCCTTGGTGATCCACCAGACCAATATGGGTCTCATGGCAGCAAAGAAGAGGAAAGTGAACAGATGCAAATGCTTTCTCCTCTCTCTCTCTCTCTGTGGTTGGACTCCAACATCTGCCAGCACTGGAAGTAGGAGGCAAGAAGCTTTTGACACAGACCTGGAGACCCAGATCCAAACTCCTTTTCTAACAGGAGCATCATGTGGCAGACACTGGGCTATACACAGTATTTTAAGATCAACCCATGAAGGGTTGCTGTGGGAGTTCCCAACTGGGCTTCACTTACTGCACTCTCTGAAAGCAATAGGATCGGACCTCTTCAGCAAACCATGATGGCAGGAACAGAAGGCTGGATGAGAGATGCCCTCGGTCTGACCCAACAAGACCACCTTTATGTTATTCCATATGCATTAGGTGGCCAATGAAATAAGCTTTCCTGAACTGAATACTGTAGTTTAATGGGCCAATGTGGGCACATGGTCTATGAAACTGTGAAAAAAGCAAAACAGACTTTATTTGCAAGGGTAAAAATCTCCACTTCTCTCTCTCTCTCTCTGCCCTAGAGGGCTGGAATGAGGGAATGCAGCAAAAGGGCCAGCTTGGCTTAGTCGTTTGACAAACCGCCATCCTGTTCAACAACATCAGCAAAGTTCAAGTATCCTAAAAGTGCTGGTTGTTGAAACAGGGACTCAGAGCAGCCCATGATTGCAAAGGCTCAGTAAACAGGCCAGGAGAACAGGCACCAGAGAGGATCTGAAGTCATCTTTCTTTTGTCTTGAAAAGCAAAGCGAGTGTGCTCTCTAGGAAACTCAGTTGCTAAAAAATAAGGCAGACCTGAGAATGAAACACTTAAATGAAACAAGTAGCACATTAGAGCAAGCTGTGCTTGCAGGCAAGAGAACACTTTGGAAACTGCAAACTGAGCAGTAGAGGAAACCGTGCAGCCCTCCCCTCTGCTGCCTAACTGGTACCACCACATGTGACTATTGGAGGTTAACAAAGAGAGAGGGGCACCAAAGGGAAGTGTGAAGGAGGAGAGGTTTCTGCTAAGCCCAGGTGTTCATCTTGTTCTAGAGAAGGTCAATGGGAGGCCCAGACAACTGTAGAATAACTGTCCCAAATGCATCAACAATATGAGGGTAACTATGTGTATGAAACGAGGCCTTTCTACTCCTCCTGCCTGGATGACTCCCTTGTCAATATTCTCCCCCTGGAGCAAGTTCCAAACCTCATGAACATCCCATCATCAATATCAATCATCTATCTGTGAAGTTGCCAATGGAAATGCAAGTTTATCCCACATGGAGCCCTTTTCCTGCCTTCTTCCTTGAGACACCATTTCAACTGGTTTCTGGCAGAGGGGACATATCCTGCTTCGGGCTGGTTTTCAAAGAGAGGCGGCAAGGTTTACACCCCCACTCCCTGAAGTTCCTCAAAGCCAAGATGTTTCAAACCAAAAACAGGTTTGTAAAACGCCTCTTATGGAAGATTAACATTTCACACCAGTGTATGCGGAAAGGAACCCCCTCTGACATTTCAGAGCGACTTTATTTAGGTGGCTTCCAAACAAACTGTAATCTGGTCAGCCCACAAATTATAACAGAGCCAACCTCTAGTGAACCCTAATCCACCCTCATTTTTCAGACACACGTAGGTGGAAATCGTAACAGCTCATTCCACCCCTGCCCAAACATGGCTGTTGAGGAGCCAGAAAACACAGGGAGCAGGAGGACGCCAGAGCCTGAGGGCAAGGGCTCCTCTCTAGCAACATCAGCATCCACTCATATCTCGAGCACATAGCTCTTCCTCAACTCGTGTCTCTCCAGATGGAAAAAGGGGAAAACCAGTCGCTTACCTCAGGAGGACAGGGAAGGGTGAGGCCCCTGGCTTGCCTCTGAAACAAGGCAGAAGGCAAAGTTGGGAAGGAACTAACTGAGCTGGGCCCATGGATGGGGATTGCCTGAAGATTCAGCATATGCTTTTACCAAGGCCAACTCACTCTGCACTGACCGCGGTGACCCACATCAGGTGGGGAATCAGCTGACGGCCCCTGTGTGTCATGCCCTGCGAGTAAATACCGGCATGTGACTAAGCATGTGTCGATAAACAACTCCTGTATTTCCTCCCAAGGTAAAAATAAGCACAGAAGAAATTACTCTGTGCTCAGAGCTGCTTAGTTAGCCCAGCACCACAACCGGCTTCTTGATCTGCCTGCTGATTAGAAGGCAGGAGCAGAGGAAGACCGGCTGTGGGCATTAATTAGCCTCCTAACTGCACCCCTCGTAGTCAATAGCATGAAGACTTTGGAAAACAGCAAGTCCTCCAGGAAAACATGCAGATCTTCATTTGAACTGGGAAGTGAGGGCCTAGGAGGGTGCATTTTAAAGCAGCACAGAGAGCTGTTCCTGCACTTCTGACACCTGCCTACCAACTCTCCCTGGGTGGGAAGGAGGATGGAGAAGCCCTCAAGACATCTTGCCTTCCCCAAGTAGCCACCTCAGATGTGTGTGTGTGTGTGTGTGTGTGTGTGTGTGTGTGTGTGTGTGTGTGTGTGTGTGTGTGTGTGCCCGTGTGCGTGTGGGAGTGGGGGAGATCTGACTTATACTTCATGTTTACTCATCAGCCCAACACAAAACTGCACATGGAACCAACAGGCGACTGAGATTTTAAAAAAAAGAGCAAAGCAGTCACAACAAACACATCCAAACCATGAATTAGAAACTGAGGGCACCTTTAGAACGAACTGGCGTTCTTTGGCTTGACCTTCCCTCAATGGCAGGCAGTCCACATCCTCGGACCCATGGAGAACAACATTCAAGCCACGGGTATGCAAGGATAACTGGTTCTGGTTCCAGGGGTGGGGCAGGAAAAAAGTTGATTCAAAAATGATAATTACATTAATTAACATTGATCAATGCACTTCCAGTGGCCTCAGTACCCATGTTAATTCAATTGTCATTTTCTGTATCACATTTCATTCTACCACACCCCCTTAGAAAACAGGAGGCTTGGGCAGAGCTCCTTCCCCTGCTGCTGCTGCCCTGGCACATTCCTGGTTCCTAAAAAGCAGCACCTCAGGGCACAGTCAGGTCGACCATCCTTACAGGTGCCTCAAATATCTCCAGCTGACCAGTTTGTGGAAGCTTTCCAAACTGCTGACG